GAGATAGACCCTTTGTCTTAGTTACTTTTCTTGTTGCTGAGACAAAAGGTTTCAGTCTATAAAAGCTGGCTCCAAGGCAGAGTGGCATGGCAGACAGGCATTGCAGAGGAACAACAGTTTATGGTGGGCAGAAGGTAACAAAATAAGCATGGAATGACCACAACTCTTTCTATTCCTTATCTTATCCATACTACTTAGGGTAGGTAGCACTCATGCCCTTAATCCTAGTGTCCTTGAGCCTACCGCTATGAATCAATCCCAGTGTCACACACTGTAGATCCAGCCACCTCTGCAAAGCCCCACTTATGACTGCATGAGGCTTTGGAGGGACATCTAGACACAAGCCATAATACCCTTCCAGGTCATGTCTCCAGTAACCCACTTCCTCCAACCAGGCTTCACTTCCCAACGTCACATTTAGCTATAAGCTTATCAATGGATTAATCCAATAGTAACTATCATACACTCATGATCCAATAACCACCCAAAGCCCCACCTATGAGCAGATGAATCTTTGGGGGAATTTAACTATAAATCATAATATCCCACCCTGACCCCTAAAAGACTTATGAACATCCCTTTATGGAAAATGTGTTTAGTCCATGTCTAAGAGTTTCCAAAGTCCTAACAGTTTCAGCACTGCCAAAAGTCCATTTCCAAAGTCTACCCTGAAATTTTAGGCAAATGCTTACCCTTGAGCCCCTGTGAAAATGAAAAGTTAAACGCTTCCCACATACAAAGGCACAGGGTAAATGTTCTCACTCCAAAAGGAGTATATAAAGGAGTGGGACCAAAGCAAGACTAAAACCCATCAGGACAAACATTAAATCGTGTAGATCTATGTCTAGCACCTTGGGCAAATTGTGGTGAGATGTGACCTTCATAGGGCTCGGGTATCCTTACTCTTATGACAGTGCCTATGGATGTGGCCCTCATGGCTTCTCTCTTGGGCTGCCTTTGCTCACTCTTCAGGGTTGTTCTCAGCCAGTTCACATTCCTGGCTTTTCCAGCATCCTGGAGTCTCCACTCCACTTTCTACTTCACACTCACAACTTCATTGCCCTCTAAGGGGCACACTGCATGATCTCCCAGCCCTTCTTCTGCAGTTTGAGTGGAAGTCTCTCTGACCCCACAACTGTTGCATTCTGCATGCATATAAAATCAGCACCATGTGTATAATGTCAAGTTCAGCCACCAGCTGGAGAGTAGCTGAGCCCTTTTACATCTTGCTTGGGGTTGAAGAGGCATCTGAGTGCTGGCTGGCTGAGCACAGTAAACTGAATCCTGAGGGATCAATTCCCTAGGCAGCTCTTCTCCAACTTCTCCAAGGCAGTGTCCTGGGGCTCTCTTCTCAAAACACTTTTGCAATTTTGAGCCTTCAAAGAGTGAAGCCTTGATGCTTCTTCATATGCCCTTAAGCCATTTTTCCTATTGTCCTGTTCCAAGTATTTGAATTCTTTTTAATGCTTATCTTTTCAGGAACCAAGCTCCTCTGCTCCATCTTTGTAGGCCCCAAGTTTACCAAAGCTTACTTTCTAGCCAAACTCAAACTATTTAAATCATTCTGCTGGATCCTTTGCTCTTGATTTTCAATGTAGAGCTGGCTAAAAGTCCATAGTAGTACCCAAGCCATACCCTTGAATTTCCTCCATCAGATTAAGTAGTCTGCCACCCTTAATCTCAGTCTCCCTCAAAGTCTCAGGATATGAGCAAATTTTCTACCAAAGCATATTCACACATAGCCTGGAGACTAACACCTAAAGAGTCCTTGTCCCCATGTGAAACCTCCTGAGTTTGATCTTTACCAGCTGCATTTCTATCAACACTCTGGTTTTCTGAACTCTGACCAGAATCTCCAGTCAAGCTCAGCTCATAGTATTCTACAGCTACTTCTCCAGCTGACATCTTCAAACCTTTCCAAACTCCTCCTATTGACTGGTTCCAATGGCTTCTGAACCACATGATCAGGTAACATCACAGCAATAACACACTTCCTGGTACCAAAATATGTCTTAGTTATTTTCTTGCTGGCAGAACAAAATACCCAACATCCACAACTCTAAGGAGAATATAAACCATAACGGGAACAAAAGTGACAAAGACTCCTTGTCTTCCTCTCTTCACAGACTAGCACGTTGTCTCTGTCCCTCTATGCCTGAAGTTACTCTCACTGGCCATCTGGGCAAGAAAAGGCTGGTGGGGAGCCAAACTCCACTCCAGAAAGGCCCCCAAACTCCCCAGCAATGCTCAGCCTAAGTCCCTACTCTCACATTTATGTGGACTGCTCTCACCCCTTGTCCCCAGCAGGCAGCGCCTCTCTGACAGTCTTGTTTCCTTAGCCACAGATGGCCAATCATTCATGCTGACCTACATGCCACTTGGTAATGTTGGAGACACCTGGAAGACGTCTCACCCTCCACCTCTTTGTGGTGCTCAGGGCTGCCATCCTCTCTATGTTTGCACTTTATTGATGCTGGACAAGGGAGAGGATGGGCAGGGAACTACAAGACTTCACAGCAGGAAATGCCAGCAGCCCCTGGCTCTGGCTGGCTGGTGTAGAATGTCCTAGAGTGCCAAAAGCCCCCAAGATGAACAATATAAACATCTCATACTTGCTCCCCATAACCTGCCCAGCCACAGAGCAGCCTCCTTCTGCCATGGCTGCCCCCCAGTGCACTGGAAAGTAAGGCTTGACATTTCCTGAGCCATCCTCCTACAGAGAGCTGGGATGAGAGCTGAGAGATTCATTGAGCCTCACAGAGATTCAGTGTCCATGCAATAAAGTGGGGAATAGGACACTTTTCAGGAGGCATCACTGAGGGGGTCATATGAAAGAAATAACATGACATTGTGTGGGTTTGAGCACTTACTACATACCATGAACTGGACTCCATCTGTTTACAAAGATTGCCTCCCTCATCCCCAGGGGATAATGGCAAGTGTGTTTACCAAGCTCAAGTTCTAGCCTCCAGGGTCTTCTGCCTTCTCTTTCATGTGACAAGTTTGAGCAAAGTATCATATTCACAAGACCATGCAGGCAGATGTGGGCAGGCCAGGGTGGCCTCGGCTGCCACTCTGAGTCCCCTCCACAGCCCAGAATCCTACAGCACTGTGTGGTTTGCTGTCCAGGAATCTGGGCCAGCAGCAGAGACATAACTGTTAAGAACAGCCTTCTCCTGCCTCTTCTGGCACTTGAAAGGCAAAGATGCCCACAGCAGAGAGCCAGGGACCACCTCGTGATGCATTCCAGGTACAAAGGACAGACACTAAAGTCATCTGTCCAACTGCCCTCCCAGAAACCACCTATCAGAAGCCCCCTGGATGCCTGTATGCTGGGTACCTGTGACCCTTTTATCCAGCTTCTGCAACCTTCTTTCCCAAAAGATTTCCTATAAACCATAGGCTTGGGCAGTGCTGGGCAGAGAGGAGTGGACTGGGCTAGAGAGCTAGAATGGACTAAACTATTAGAGTTGAACTGGTCTGGACTAGGCTTGGCTTGCCTGGGCTGGACTGAGCTGTGTGTGGCTGTCCTGGGCTGAGCTGGGCTAAGCTGAGCTGGACTGGGCTGGGCTTTGCTGGCCCTGTCTGAGCTGAGCTGAGCTAGGATGAGCTGGGAGGAAGCCACATACTTGGCAATGAGGAATAACTCTAGCATACAGGAAGATAAACCAAAATCTTAGGAACCTCTAACCAGCTGTCTTGGTCCTCAGGGTCGGCCCCACCTCTCCTTGGGGAGAGAAAGGCCACTATAAGTCATGGGGTGCCTGTCAGGAGGGTCTTCTCTGCGTTTAAGGATGAAGGCTTTGCTTCCCTGCAGTCCCTAAACAAACCCACTGCAGAGTGGGGCAGTGGTTTCTTGGTGTTAGGTAACACACCCTGCTCACACGGCTCTCCACTGCAACCAAGGCTGCAGCCAGGTTTGCCTGGTGCCCAGGAGGCAGCTACTGCAGCTGGTCCTACTGGAGGGGACAGCTGACTCTAGATATACCACACACAGTCAGTTGCGGTTACCCCTGGGATGTGCATCTGAGACTGTCTGAGAGTCGCCAGCCTCTGCAATAGCCCCCTGAGCCCCCAGCCCGACGCTGCACCCTCCCCACACAGTCACGCAACACCTGTGACCGAGAGGACTCAGCTTCTCTGTCCGGAGCAGGGTCCCTGCCAGGAAGAGTCTGCGCTGGGGGCGGATCAGCCGGGGTCTGTGCCATTGGCTGAGCTGTCTGCTGGGCGGGCCCAGCTCACTGGGAACAGCAGAGCTGAACCAGGCAGCGAGGACCAGCCTGGAGGAGAGACCCCCATCGCCCTCATGCCCTGCTGCACGGTGAGTGCCGCCCCACGCAGCCCCTACCCAGACACATGAGCACCCCCACTTCGCACCTGGTGTGTGTGGGTCCCCTTCTCTAGGTCCTGCTGCTGCGGCAGCACTAGGGATGCTGTGGTCGCTGTACTTGAGGGTCCGGAAGAGGGAAGGGAAGAGGACTAGGGTGCTGTCTCCTTTACCCCGGAGGCTGTTATACAGATATCAAAGTGCTTTGGGGGCTGCACCCTGACCAGCCAGGCAAGAACCCTGCCAGGCACCACCACCACTGGTGCCAGGTCGCTGGCCCCCAGCAGCACCCAGCCTGTTCAGAGCCCAGCAGGCAGACTGGAGCAGGCAGTGGGTTCTAGCAGCGCCACCTTGAGGTGCCCCGGGGTCGGTTGCTGCATTGCACCCACCTCCCAGCACCTACCCCTTTCCTCCAGGCCAACTGCTGCCACCACAACCACAGAGGGCACCAGGATGGTGAGGGACTGTACAACCCCTCCAGGGGCAGGGAAACAGGACAAGTGGGCTAAGGAGTGTGGGAGCTTCAGAACTTGTCTGCAGATGCCAGCCCCCTGTGGGCAATCCCTTGTGAAGCATCCTTCTGTCCTATCTGTGTCCGCGCCTTTCAACTTCTCTCACTCAGTTATTCTTTTTAAGAAACAGACTCAAAAGGGGCTATTTCTAAACACTTGATCTAATATCGCATTGGCAGAATAGCAGAGACAGCTGAAGACAATCGGGTGGTGATGGAGGAGTCTCCCACACTCCATGAGCTATCCAAGAACTTTCCCAGACTATTGAGTACAGACAGGGGATCTGGGGGTTGGGTGCAGTGCTCAGGGTTCGAGAGCCAGCTCTTTGGGCAGAGCCAGGAGACTAGTGGATGCAGACCTGATGGAAGGAGATCCTGCGTCCAACCTAAGGTCATGGGGATGCTGACCCTGCTGGCCCTTAGCCTGAGGTCCAGGTCCCTGGACTGTGGTGGGGGGTAGCCTCAGCTGTTTGTACTCAGGCTCCTGAGAACAGAGGACCAGCCCGCATCTGAGGATGCAAAGAGAGCAGCGAGGCAGGCTTAAGCCATGAGGGAAAGCTGGAGCCACAAGTAGGGTTGCAGGGAAAGAGCCAGTGCAGGTGGAGCAGACATGCTGATTAACGGGGTGGCACCAACTGGCCCTCACACTTGCCAGGTGCGACTGGGGAAGGTTAGGGCCATGGCCCACATAGCAGCCACAAGCCAGCAGGGACGCAGTAACCATGTTGCATGCTCTCCGGCATTTATGTAACACCCCTCATGAGTGTCAGCCACCCAGAATGGCTCACCTGGGAGCTTGAGGGTCTTGTCTTGTGCTGATCAGGACCCACCAGGCTTATCAAGAGTCACCTTGCTTCCACTCCACCAGTCAGCCAAGGGTCTTGCTGCTGGGGACCACCTGCTCTGTGTGCGCACAGGATCGTGGCCAGCAGGCACGACCTCATGGAGAGGTGTCTGTGGGAGTCCTGGTAGAAAGGCCCGATGCCTCTTCCAGGCAGTCCTCCATCAAAGCTCTACTTCTTGACTGACTATGAATCAAGGCAGGGCAGCACAAGGGACAATGCCCTAAGTGCTGACCTACTATCCAAGGCAGGGAACCTGAGGACCTGTGTGGAGTTCCAGCTGCACAACGATAGGAGGGTCCTGGAGCCTCTGATCTGGGCAAAGTGGGAGAAGAGCTTGCACCGGGCATTCATGAGAAAGGACAGAAGGGTCCCAAAAAAGTCTCAAGTGCCATGCTTAACCAAGCAAGAAACATGAGGTCACCTAGGACATGAGCCACTTCACACGATGTGGCCCAGGACCCAGAGCTACTGCCCACTCTGGGGAGATGGGTGAAGTAGCTGGGCCAGATGAGATCACCACCCAGTTTCTCAGGCATAGTTGGGAGTCTAGAGCTGAGACCCCAGGGTCCCCTCAGTCCGCACCACCCCCTGGCCCTTGGCCTCATCATCCTCTGCTCCAAGAGTCGGCTCACAGTTCCTGGACATCCCCTTTGCCTCTGGCCAGCTCCTGGCCTTGGCGGGCAGGGAAGAGGAGAGGAGAGGAATTGCAATTGAGCTGAGCACAATCTCAAATACAAGCCAAGGAAGGGGAGGGAGCAGCAGAGAGGAACACAAGGCTGCAGGGTGCCAAGAGAGAGGGAGACGAGCAGGCATGTCCCGGTGCCCCAGCTGCCACCCCCGGCAGGCGCCTGTGGGTAAGAAGTGTCCTGTCACTGTGGTTGAAGCCCCTAACAGTTTGGGGTTTCTTCCGCTACACAGTGGCCTGGGTGGAGGCTCCTGAAGCTGGTAGAACCAGGACCCAGGGGTGACTTTGGAAAGGGAGCTTCTTGGCGGTGCCATCAGGCAGTGTCTTCCTAGCAACAGGGCTTATCATGGGGTGAGGGAAGAGAGGAAGCCAGGCAATGCCCAAACCAGTGTCCAGGCTGCTCCCTCCCTTCCCCAGGGGGTCCCAGGCCCCACACATACCCCGAGCCCAGGTGACTCAGACGGGGTACTTCCAGCCTCCATCCAGACCCTTTCCACCGCATCTCCCCCATTCTGAGCATCAGGCAACACCAAGACTCCCCAGCCTGCTTCCTCCTCACACTCCCCAGGGTGAAGCTGAGGCAGAGACAAGGTCACCCCAGCTCCTGCCAGCCAGAGCGGGCTGCAGGACTCCCAGCCCCAGACTGACTCTAGGACTCAGGACAGATCCTGGTCACCTTCTGGGCCTTCGCTTCCAGCTGGCAAATTTCATATCTTGCTTGGGTCAGGGCCAGCATTCTCAACAGAGCCGTCTTTGTTCAGCCCATAATTTATCCTTGTCAAGCAAGGCAAGTGTCCTTCTCTCCAGACCCCTGTTGCCCTGGAAGCCCACAACTCTCATCCTGCTCAGGCCTCCTTGGCTGCATCTTCTCGGCTCCATCTCTAGGCCAGATCTGGGGCTCCCCAGGTGTCACACCAGGCTTGGAGGGAAGGGGATGGCAGGGAGGGGCAGCTGGCGAAGCATTTCCAGAGGTCTGTCCTCCCATCTGCATGTTTTCCATCTGTCCCCGAAATGCCGGTCTGGAAGATGGGACTCTGATTTTCACAGGCTGAGTTCCCAAGGGTACTGAATGCCTGACCTCAGAGAGCCACGTAGTAACACTGTCACCAGCCAGTCATGGGGCTGTCACCTACTACCCACAAGGACACAAACTGGACCCCCAGGACCTCCAAGGCTGAGGAATGGCAGCCGAAAGATGGGCCCCTGTAGGCTCAGCACCTTCTTTTTGGGAACCTGTCCTTTCACTAGCACCTGCAGCTTGCTGTCACCACAGCCTTCACTGTGTCCTTGGCAGGTGTATGAAGAGCAGAGAGAGGTCACATAGGCCTCCTGGCACAGATGGTGTCTGTCTGACTGTCTTGAGTTACAGCAGTGAAGGTGAGGAAGGTTTGGTGGCAGAGAAAGATGTGCGCCCTCCAGGCATTTAACTAAGCCCCTAGTGAGCATCATTAGTGCCCTTCGGACTTCTGCGCCGTCCCTGTCTCCCACTCACAGACCTGACCCAGGCCCTCGTCACAGCCTTGGACAGCTCTATCTTCAGTCAATACCAGTGGGCTGTGTTCTTGCTTCCCCATGGCCTAGGGGCCAAACACTCCCATGTATCTTCTGGAGGCCAGATGCCCAAGAATAGACTGCTCTTCCTGAGGCTCTGAGGGTCTATTCCAGTCCTATCCCCAGCCCCGGTAGGGGTTGGCCATCCTCAGCACTCCTTGGCTTGCAGAAACACCATTGTCCTCTGCATCTTCACGCGACTTTCTTCCTGGGTGTGTCTGCGTCCAAGTCTCATTTTTATTAAGGACACCAGTGAAGTTGCAGTAGCGGCCTCACTTCATCTTGACTCATCACATCTGCTGTGACCCTATTTCCAAGTGCAGGCCCACTCTGTGGTGTGAGTTATATTTCAGTATAGGAATTCAGAGACCAGTTCAGCCCAACACTGACAATGGCCTGTGTTGTCAGGGGGCCACCAGGAGGATGCATTGCTGTCTTTAATGATGAATTCCTCATGGGGGTACTTTTGGAGGACTCGCCCACAGCCCAGCCTGGGTTCCCAACATCACAGGTCATCTTGGATCATCTGTCCTTTGGAGCATGCAATAGCAAACACACCCTCAGCAAGAGAAAAGTCAGAGGTAGGGGCGTTGCTGTGATACTACTTGGGCATGCATGCTGGACAACAGCCAAGCCCCTGGTGGACTGACAGCTCCCCTGCCTGTTATTTTTGTGGCTGGGGCTCCATGGAGACTCCACTGTCCCAAGGTCCCTTCCACTTACAAGCCAGGTTCGGGACTGGATGAAAGGCTCCAGAAGGGATGTGAAGACGTAGTCCTCAGCTGAAGGTGCAGAGGCCCTTCTGCCTCCCAGGTGGAGACCAAGGGACAGCCATCCTCAGGGGTCGTGTAGGATGTTGAGGCTGGTTCAGGGCAGGAAGAAGTTTCCCAGGCCAGCTGCTACCTGCAGGAAAGCAGAGCATACAAATGACAGCCAAAGTAACTTTCCCCAACCCTGACCCAGCCTCTCCTACCAATTGGGAGACGTTGGCTGGTTACAACTGAAACGGTCTGAGAAGTCCCAGCAACCCAGCCTGAAGCTACTGTGGTGCCCAGAAAGCCAGCTCACCCCAGCTCGTTCTCCACCCAGGGGAAGCCAATGGGTTTTTCTGCTCTTTCTCCCCCAGAGCAACTTCCTCTCTTCCCAGCAGGGGTCAGTATGGGACAAGGTTTGCTGGAGGACTTCATGGGCTCTTCACTGAAGACATCCTCTAGGGAGTAGGTGTTGAGAAGGGAGCCAGAAGGAGAGGGTTGAGGCCTGCACTGGGACCAGCCAAGTCCAAAGGCTACCGTGTCCACAGTAAGCGATCAGCCAGGGCCGGGGCCGGGTCACTGGGCCAAAGCTACAAGGCCTAATTGTCACCCAGGAGGGCTTGCTGCAAAGACCCAGGACCATCCCAGTCTCCCACCCCTACACCGTGCTCACCCATCCTGACTAGTGGGCCTAATAGAGCAAGGAGGAGCACCGACTACATGCCTAGCACACTCCAAAAAACCTCCTAAAAAACAAAAACAAAACAAACAGAGCCTTGCCATGAATGTTCTTAAAATTTCCACTTTACAGATGGGAAGGCTGAGACCTTGGAAAGGATAACAATCTGCCCTCCCAGGCTGAGGTTTCAGAGACCTCCCTCCCTCCATCTCTTCTTCTCTCTTTCTACTGCTACTTTTTGGTGGAGGAGGTGATTACTACACCTTCTTTTTGGATTAAAATTAGGGAAGCTTTTCTTCCAATTAAGCCTCTTAAAACACACAAAATAAGCTATTGGGAATCCCTTAGGGAGCCTGCCATGACCAGTTCACAGCAGACAGGATACAGAGCTGCAGTTTCCAGGGAACGTTAAGCACTGCCAACCTCTGCCTGGATTGCAGAGGGCTCTCTAGGTAAAGGGGTGCACCCCATAAGATGGGCCTAGGAGGCCCCACAGGAAAAGGCACATCCTCCCCAGTCCCATGGGACCAGGGAGGCCCTGGCCGGTCTGCAAAGGCTCCTGAGACAGACCCTGTACACGGAGCACAGACCTGTCCACAGTGGTCTCAGGCCTGGCCAGGGCCTGCCTGGAGGGAGAGAAGGCAGAAGTTAGGTCAGTGAAGGGTGGAGGCCCAGTGCCCAGAGCTTGAGTGGCAGCACTCTAAAGGATTCCTTTCGGCTGCCCCCCACCCCGCCAGAAAAACTCAGCCCACACTTCGGCGGCACTAGCTCAAGACTTCCTCCTTCCTCTTTCCTCCCACCTCCTGTGCTCAAGAACTATCTTACCATGGCCCCTAAGGGTCAACCTGGCCGGAAAGAGCAAATAGCCCAAGTAGGAAAGGGTGGAGCTGGTAGTTCTTCCAGAGGCTCTTTCCGGTTTTCCCTCTGTCCACACAGTGCTGGAAATATATCCCTGGGGGTGGCACGGAGTAGGGGAAATAGTCTAAGTTTTGCCTTGCCCAGTGCAGATAGCCAGCCCTTTGTCCTAGAGTCCAGGCCCTGTCTCAACCCAAACACATCTTTCAGCCATCTCCTCTCAGGGCTGCAGGTCCTATTTGGTCCCCTGAGAGGAAGGGGCTACCCAAGATTCCTTCCTGGTGGCAGACTCTGGGTGGGTGCCCTTGTGATAGCCTGGAATCCCCACTAGTACATGAAGCTGAAATCCCAGTAGCAATGGGGTGGGGATCACTCACCCACAGCTCCTTTCTCCAAGTGACCTATTTATAAAATAGAGAGGCATTTGTGTGGGTGCTGAGCAGGGGTGTCTTGTACCCACACCCAGCGGACTTCCTGCTCTGGGGAGGGATAGCTGCCAGTTCCAGCTGTCTACAACCTTCCAGACAGCCAGAAGGACTGAGCTATCCCACACCCCAGTTCCTTCCATTCTGCAGCCCTTCAGAGGTGAGGAATACCTTCCCTTTGACCTCAGTACCTCAGACCCGTGTCTGGTGCTATGTCTCTGAGTGTCTCCCTTCCCTGCTTGGAGTTTCTGGCAACCCCAAAGGACCCAATACTATCCAGGTCCTCAGGCTGGCTGTGCCCGATGTGTCCTCAGGAGTGTGGACTCCTGAGGCCTGGGTTCTGTCTCAGGGAAACTGGGGTGCAGGGAGGCCTTCCCCACCTGGGGCTGGAGCTGGGGTGGCACAGACTGGCTGCTTAGGGTGAGGGACCCATGAGAAAGAGGGCTTAGGAATCTCCCCCCAGAAGGGGCCCAGAAGTGGAAGTGACCATACCAGAGGCTGTTTGGGGGCAGTTGAGTCAGTACTCCTGCCCCATCTCTACCAGGACTAATCACCCCTTATCCACCTGCTCAAAGCCTTTGGGGTCTGGCTACCAGCAACAGCCCTGAACCTGTCAAGCAGAAGGTGGGACCCAGGGAAGCAGGTGCTCCTGAGAAGAGGGTGCTCCAGGACAGGAAGTCACATACATCTCTACGAGGCCTTTATGTGTGGTAGATGACAGCTGCTTGCCATCTGCAGGGGGTGGGGTCCTGTTCTCACAGTGTGCCTGGATGACCCCAACAGAACCACCCCATCTGGAAGCAAAAGGAGCAAAATGAGTCCCAAGGACTAAGGTCACTGGAGTCGCTTCTGACCTCACAGGTGCTCACCTGAGTCCTCCTGCCTCTGCTGGACACTGAGCCCTGAGCACCCACATTCCCCAGGCCTGATGAGTAAACCCAGCGTGGGCTCAGTGCCTGTGAGCAAGGCTCTGGGAGCTGATTGGTTAGGGCTCTGGAAGAGGGGAGGCTAGCGATGAAGGAAGAGCCGAAGGGCAGAGGGTCCAGGCCATCCAGGAGCGTCCCCCTGGAGGAGGACAGGGCAGAAGACTGGTCTTTCCACCATCAGTTTTTTCCCTAAACATTCTTGGCTCCAAGCCAGTGAGCTCCCACAAGCACATTCTGGGTGTCACTGTGGAAGGCCCAGTTCCCAATGGCTCACCCTGTCCTAAGGCTGCTCCTGCCCCCACTGCTCTACCCAGTTCTTCTGGAGGCTTCCCCGCTTAGCTCAGGGGCCTCTGGAACCATGGCTCTTGGGCTAAATAAGCTCTAATAACCAGAAGCATCTTTGGAAATTCCTGTTCCCTGGCCACTCTAGACACTGAGGTCTGCAGCAGGGCCTCAGAGTCTGCATTTTCTGGCTTTAAACTCACGGCGCTTGATTCTTGTCACTAAATCCATAACCAGCTCCTTATTGGAGCATAGCTGGTGACCTTGGAGCCAGGCCACCCTTCCCTACCAAGCGCCTGGTGGTCTCAGTAGGTGTATGCAAGGGCCCCACAGAGCCACAAGCTGGTACTTTCACTGGAACCTGGGGCCTCTCTTCCTCCCAGGTGTAAATATTTCCCTCCCATGAGAACTCCCTGATGACTCATACCACTGAGCATTTTCCATGTGCTTCTTGGTCATCTGCATACCTTCTTCAGAGAAATGTCTTGGTGAGTTAGCTGTACCTGCTGCAAGGTAGGGGGTCGGGCTGCATTCTTCTGCCTGGGCACATTCAGCCTTCCTGCGCCCTTTGTTGAAGAGCCTGTCCTTCCCTGCTGATTTGTTCTGGCACCACTGTGGAAAGTCAATTGACCGTGTATGCCAGGGCTTATTTCTAGGCTCTTTGTTCTGTCTCACTGGTCCTTGTGTCTGTTTTCATGCCAACACTTCGCTGCTTTGGTGACTGTCCCTGAAACAGTTGAAATCAGGTTTGAGTCCTCCAACTTAGTTCTCTTTTAAGATTGTTTTGGCTATTTGGGTCTTTTCATATTCCATACGATTTTTAGAAGGATTTTTCCATTTCTCTAGAAAATGACATTGGGATCTTGAAAGGGATCACACGGAATCTGTAGATGGCTTGTGGGTAGGATGTGCATCTAAATGGGTAGCTCTGCTCTAGCCTGGCCCCACCACCACCTGTGAACCAGGCATTCTATGTGAAGCAAGAGGCCACAGCAGCCAAGCAGACTGTCTGATTTTGAGGGCCTAGACCTTTGCCCTCTCTCTACCATAGCCACTGGCCATGCAGAGTTATTAAAATTGACACTTCATTAACTAAAACTCAGCTCCTCAGTCATGTCACCCACATTCCAAGTGTTCGGTAGCTGTATGTGTCAGGCTACTACCACCACATCAGGTCCCATAGCTTATAGGACATTTCATCGTTCCACAAAGTTCTGGTAGATGATGCCATTCTAGACTTCAGTTGCAAGAGGCCAGAGGTGGGAATGTTAAATCCAAAATTCTTACAGGTCCTGAGTGGCTGATGTTCCTAAGTGCCTGAAACAGAAATGAGGGTATGATGGTCAGTTGTTGGCAGTTGGGGTTACTTCTTTCCAGTGGGGTACGGGCTTGGAGGGGGACTGAGGACTGTTAGGAAGTGAGAGGGGAGAGTGGGTACCGGAGGTCCTTAGGCCAGGCCCTCTCTGGGGTCCACTTAGCTCCCAAAGTAGATCATGAATGGGAGCTATGGGCCCAGCACAGCCACAAGTACAGCAAGAAGGACATATTTACCAGACTGCACTCTGTCCCCTCTCTCCTGATCTCTGTTTATGACATCCCCATGCTTTCTCCCTCAGTGACTTAACAGTGAAGTCCTCTTTTCTCCTGTGGCCAGAGAGAGGCCTGTACTCAGCTCCCCAGCTGAGCCCTATGGCCCCCAGGCCAACTGTGTGTCCCTTCCTTTCTGGCCAGGACCGAGTGTCAGCCTGCCAGCCTGTCTCAGAACACACTGGCACCTAGCAGTGCAGCAGGTCATGAATGGGCTGGGCCTGGGGCCTCTGGCCCATCTGTGTATATGGGCTGAGAACAGCCAGACCCTGAACCAAGAGCTATCTCTGTTCAGGAGGACCCCCATCCTTGATGCTAAGCTCCTCTTGTGGTGACAGACCCTGGCCTAGTCCAGGACAAAACCATGGTCATTTCCCCACAGGACGCTCATGCAAGGTTCCAGACTCATTTGCGGAGACTCTGACGATGTGAGGTGGCCATGCCAATAGCTCCTGCCCATCCTGTGAGACCCTCGGGCAGGGAGCAGAGGTGGCTTCCTGGCTCTGAGGGGCTTGTGGGGCTGTCCTCAGCTGATGACCAATGTCTGTGGGCCCACCCCTAATTCTTGGAGCCATCCCATCAGAGAGCTTGAGAATCCCAGCGCATCGTGGTGACAAGACTCCAAGCATGCCAGGACAGGAAGCTGTTCTTCATAGGTCCAGGTCCCACAGCGCACACTGGGCTTTCTGCAGAGCATTTCCAACACCTGCCCCTCATCCTTGGACCCCAGCCCGAGTTACTTCACATGTACATTCTCATTACTGTAGGCTGCATTTGCTCCCAGATCACTATTTATTGTGTACAGGTCCTTTTCTCATCATTCCACTGATGTGCTTTTTTGAGATATAATTATATTCTGTAAAATTCATGCTTTTCAGTGGTTGGCTGTATGAGTTTTAACAAATGCACAGTTACATAAGCACCACCATCAAGTTACAGAACAATTCCAACACTGCATGACCTGCCCTGGGGTCTCTGTGGTCAATCTTCAATCTTCCAGTCCTTTCCCTAGCCCCTGATGTCTTTTGTCCTGGCAGTTTTGCCATTTCCAGAATGTCCTATGAACCCCGTGGTGTGTGGACTTCCCTGTCCGGCTTCTTTCCCCCAGCGGACTATGTGAGATTCATGCATACCACTGCATGTGTCCACGGTCTGTTCCTCCAATTGCTAAGTAACATCCACTGAAATAGCACATAATGTACATTTGCCCTGCTGAAGCAAGGCCTGTATCCGTCCTGAGCAACTGTGAATTAAGCTGTGAGAAACATGTACACAGGTTCTTGTGGGGAGGTATGTCTTCATTCCACCTGGGTAATTCTCAGGGGCAGCATGTGCTATCCTTCACCAGAAACTGGCAATCGGTCCTCCAAAGTAGCCACCCCCTCTTGCATCCCACAAGGGATATGGGAGGCACTGTGGCTCCACACATCCCAGATGCACTGGCATCTGGTATCTCTGTGGCGGTGCTGTCATTCCCCTTGGTGGATGGCAGCTTTTGTGTAGATTCTCTAATGACTAAGAATGTTGAGTGTCATTTACCATGTGCGTTTCCTCTTCTATGAAGCTGTGGTTGATATCTTTGGCTTACTTTTCATTGGGTTGCTTTCCTATTAAGTTTCAAGGGCTCTTCTTATATTCCAGATGTAAGTTCTTTACCACATATGTATTCTGCAAAAATTTTTCTTCCAGTCTCTGGCTCATCTTTTCATTCTCTTAATGGTGTCTTCAAAAGAGAAATTTCTAATTTTCCCAGTGTCCCATGTATCATTTTATTGTGGCATGGATTTGTGCTTTTGTTGCTATATCTAAGAGACCATTGCCTAGGGCAAGGCCACAGAAGTCTTTCTCCTATGGACTTTTGCAGAAATTTTATAGTTTTAGGCTTTATGTTTAGGTCTGGGATCCCACGTTAACATTATTTTTGATTAGGGTGCACAGGGTATGTGTGTGAGAGAACTTTCTGTAACTGTAACAAAACACCTGAGTGAATCCACTTAAAAAGCAAAGGTTTATTTTGGCTCACAGTTTTGAAGGTTTCAGTCCATGGTCTGTTGGCCCTAAGGCTTTTGGACCTGTGATGGGTCAACACATCATGCTCATGGTATGAGCATATGGGGGAGAAAACTGCTCACATCCCAGTAGCTAAGACAGTGAAGAAAGACAGGAAAGTGTCAAGGTCCATACAAGTATACATCCCTAATGACCTAACTTCCTTGCACTAGGCCCTATCTCTTAACAGTTCCATCACCTCCCAACAGCACCACAGGTTGGTGACAAAATATTTAATATATGAGCCTTTGGGCACAGTTATCCAAACCATAGCAACATGGGTCAATTTATTTATTTGTTGGTTAGTGTGTGGTGGTGGATTGACAACTGGTGATCAACTTGTAACACCCAGCTCAACTGAACTAGTGTGCTGGGTGTGAGAGGCCCACTTGAGGATTGTTGAGAGCAGCATAAGAGGAAGAACTGGAGAAGAAAGAGAGAGGCTATTGGGAGCTGAGAAGCTGTTGGGTGCTGTTAGAAGCTGTAAGTTGGGTGCTGTTAGAAGCTGTAAGTTGGGTGCTGTTAGAAGCTGTTGGTTCTCCTGGAGGAGCTTGTCATGCTGGCTTTCCTGATGAACTCAGCTGTTCCCATTATCCAAGGAGCTTCGGATCTCACTGTTGCTGAGGATGGCTGTGGTACTTTTCAAGAGAACTCCGGTTCTTACTTTAAGCGCTGCTTCCTGGCTCCAGTGCAGATCCCTCAGCCTGCTAGCACAGATCCTTCATCCCACTGGCATAGACTTTCTAGCTTCAGCCACTGACCTTTGCGCCTTTCCAGCACAGATCATGAAACAGGTCTGCATGAGACATTGTCATGCACTCTAGGCCTCCAGATAGACTCGTGGGAGGCATTGTTATGGGCTCTAGGTCTTCAGCTGAACTCATGCAGAACATTATTGTGGAATTCAGGCCCTCAGCTGGATTCTTTGGTCTTTAGTGTGTGGAAAGATTTCCTGTACTCTCTGTTTGTATATGATTTTTGGGTGACTATTATAAATAATCTTATAAAATATGTGTCCTGTATTATATTGTTCCCCTCGCAAAAACCCCAAACCATGACAGTGTGTTTGCATAAGAGTGGGTGACCATAATTACACTATTTGTTGAATGGACCGCCCTCTCTCCATTGAATTGCCTTTTGCATCCTTGCATCTTTGTCCAAAATCAATGGAGCATATATTCCTGGACTCCATTCTGTTCCATTAACCTGTGTGGCTGTTCTTTTGCCAACACTAATACCACACTGTCTTGATTGCAGCAACTTTATGGTGAGGCCTGAAACCAAGTAGGAGAAGTCCTCCCACTTTATTCTTTTCCTAAACTGTGTCAGCCACTCTAAGTACTTACTTTCCTATGTGAATTTTATAATCAGTTTATACATTTCTATCAAAAAAAATTCCTTGCTGGGATTTTGATTGGGATTGCAAAGAGCCTATCAATTATTCTAGAGGAAATTAACATTTTAACAGTACTGAAGATTATTGTCAGCAGCATAAGAGGTAGAACTGGAGAAGAAAAAGAGAGGCTATTAGGAGCTGAGAAGCTGTTGGGTGCTGTTAGAAGCTGTAAGGAGCTGTTGCTCCAAATGGTAAGGTCTCCATTTATTTAGGCTTCATTCATTTAGCTCTCTATTTTGATCTAAACATTTTGTATTTTAAGCAAACAGATGCTTTAGCTCTTTCGTTAAAAATAAGTATTTCATGTATTTTGATGCAACTTTAGTAGTACTATATTACTATAAAATTTTAAAATTTTTTAATTTCTAAATGTTTGTTGCTAATGCATAGCAACACAATTGACCTTTGTATGTTGACCTGGTACCACAGGACCTGGTTCAACTCACTTGTCTGTTCTAGTAGCTATTTTATTTGTTCTATAGGATGTTTCCCATAGATAGCTGTATTATTTCAAGCAAAGACAATGTCACCTCTTCCTTCCCACACTGCATCTTTTTTAGGTCCTTCTCTTGTCCTACCATGCTGTCTAGGATTGCACTTGCTGTGGGGAGCAGTGGTGACATTGGGTGTCTTTGATTTCTTCTCCATGGGCAGCAGGCAGTTTGGTATTTGTCACCAGGAAGTGTGATGCTGGCTACAGGTTTTCCATGGATGCCCTCTGCTGGGTTCTGATAAAGCTCTTCTAAGGAGGGTCTGTCACAGTACTGACTTTCATGATCAGTACTGACAGTGATGATCATGACCTCCCATTCAAGTGTCCTAAAATGAGCCTGGACAACACTAAATCCTTTAAAAAGACTCTCTGCTTCCTTCATGTCCCTCTATAAGAAGAGAAAATAAGACCATAATTACCTTTCCAGAAACCCTATGGTGTTTCCATCACAATTAAAATATAACCCAAACTCACAGATCATACAGGCTACTACGTGTGACAGACAGCCTCCCGTGTGATGTGCAGGCCCCCAAACTTACCCTGCCCTCTCTCACATTCTGGACTACTGGCCACGTGGGCCTCTGGACATATATGAACCCACCAAGCTTGTGGCCTCTTTATGCATGGCACCCACTGCCTCCCCTGCCTGTATCATGCTGAACCCCAGTGCTATAGCTGCCTCTTTTCCCCTCCAGGCCTCTACTCAGTGGTATCCTCTCTGAAGTCTCCTCAACCATCTCTCCAAGAGCCCCTCACCTATCCCTAATCCATGCCTCTCTCTAGCATTTTCCCAGACTGGCTTTCCTCCACAGCATTGTCAGGGTCTGTGTCCACATACCTGTTTTCTCTTTCTACAGAAGACTATGAGTAACGGGCAGGCAGAAGCCTCATTTGTTCCACTTATAGCCATATCCTTGTGTGGCCAGCATCCAGCACTTAAATCACATCACTGGAGGAAGTATGGGGGTCTTTCTCTGAGCATCCCCAGCTCAAGGAGCAAGACA